GATCCCAAGCTTACATTCGTAGTAACTACGGATGCGAGTTTGTATGGGATTGGTGCAGTGCTGCAGCAAGATGATGGCGATGGTTTACGTCCGCTGGAATACTACAGCAAATGCATGCCCAGCCACAAGGTAGCTGCCTCCACTTACATGAGAGAGCTCTATGCCTTGAGAGAGGCACTAGACCATTGGAAACACTACCTCTTGGGTCGCCATTTCAAAGTGTTCTCGGATCATGAGACTTTGAAGTGGATTCAGACACATATAAACCCATCAACTACGCTGACCCGCTGGCTGCATGAGATTGATGTGTATGATTTCGAACTAAAACACAAGAAAGGCTGCTATAATCGTGTTGCGGATGCTATGTCTCGCCACCCTGAGTACATGACTTGCCTAGTGGGTTCCTACGATCTTCGCAAGGACTTACAAAAGGAACTCATTGAGCACACTGCCAAGGATCCGGAACTCAATCCCACCCTTGAGCAGATTCGGGCTGACCCTAGTAGTCAGCCTGATTTCCATGAATGTAAGGGCCTTCTCTTCCGACGCTACGGTAAGCATGATCGGTTGTGTGTACCCAACCATGAGCCAATCATCACTCACTTCTTGGATTTGGCTCATGGCCGGAGTGGACAYTTCGGTGTTGAGAAGACATACGGGAATCTGTTGGAAAGGTTTGTGTGGCCTGGAATGAAAAGAAKGGCACAAAGGTTTGTGGCTGAGTGTGAAGTTTGTCAGCGCATTAAACCATCTCGGCAGAAGCCCTATGGCCTGCTGCACCCTCTTCCTATCCCTGATGGCCCGGGTGAGTYTGTTTCCATTGACTTCACGGACATGGGGAAGAAGAGCAGAAACGGTTATTCGCAAGTGATGGTGATCGTTGATCAGTTTTTGAAATTTCTAAATCTGGTTCCCTTGCCACCTCACGCCCCAACTGACCTTGTGATCGACGAGATCAACAAAAGGTATGTGCTACATTATGGCCCCCCGAAAACTCTCGTGAGTGATCGGGACACCAGGTTCATAAGCGGGGACTGGAAAGATTTCACCTCCCAGACCTACGACATGAAACTCAAGATGACGTTTGGGCGACACCCCGAAGCCAATTTCCATATGAACCACCTGAGACGTTCAAGTACCGAGAGTCAATGATTCCCCGCGCAATCAATGGCGGCCATGAGGTTGATAGTATTGTCGAACACAGTGGGAAGGGAAGAAACAGACAGTACAAAGTTCATTTTTTGTACCATCCGTTGGACGATTTCTATTGGATTGCTAGGAAAGACTTACTGCAGAGTGCACCACGTGTCGTTAATGCCTATGAACGATTGATAAGTGTTGAACAGCAACCAAAGTTTACTGCTACCCTGACTCCTACGGAACACGCCCGATCTCTCTTTGCTATCTACGCCGATGATGCACTATGCAAGGACTCTGATTGAGTTACTCGCTCGAAGGGACCTCGCTCTTGAGGGGGGGGTAGTGTAATGACCCGTCATAACATAGACTGAGAACACTGTTGATTTTTAAGTTCTGCCGATGGAATGGATGCCTTGATGAGATTCCCGCATTCTGCTGTGTTTTCTAAGTCTGTCTGTGTGTGTGCGTGCTTGTGATCTGCATGCCTGTCTGAGTGCTTGTTGGTGTGAGTGTGTGTGGGACCCGCAAGGGTACTTGCTTGTTTGGTAGGCCCGTAGGGCAGGTACTTACCTGTGGCCGTGGCATTGAGGGTTGTAGCAGGGAAAACACTCAAGTGGGGAAGCTAGCGGCCCTGAGGCCCTTGGGGTAGCGGAAAAACAATTAAGTAGGCCGGTAGGCCGATATTGCAACCCACTGCAGTTGACGTGAGGGGTACTGGAGGCCGAACAGAAAAAGACAAAGTTGGCATTTTTAGAGTCCAGTAGCGGTAGGATAGGTCTAGGCCGGTACCAGTCCAACCAGTTTGAGTCTAGAGCCTGTACGGGTAATATCAGGGTCTGCAATGATGTTTCCCTCCGAAACGGAGGAGGTACCGGTTGTTTGGAGAGGCCGAGCGGCC